AAGGAATGCAGCATCAGTATTTCAGAGGGACTCATTGATAAACTTTGATATGCAGATAGCGCAAGCTTACTTGCTGAAATCCAAGGGGACTTGAGGCAGTTATGATGAAGATCTAAGACTACAGCCTTCAGTGTAGATTGTTTATGTCAACATAAAAACAAACAGACGATAAAAAACCTTATAACTGGACCAAAAAAACCCAGTGTATTGATGCACAAAAAGAGCACATGATACACAATGAAGATATCAAGGATTTAATTTTACAAGAATCCACAATTATCGTCCATGGGGTAACTGTCAAAAACAATCAAACAGTGTATTTCACTAGGCAAGTATGCTGCAAGATACCACTTCAAAGTGTTAAAAACTAAAACCATCACTTCAAAGACAAAGGTTTATGCCTGACCCATGTTGTGCTCCATTGCCTCATATGCATGTGAAAACAAGAAAATAAATAAGGAAAAAATCTTAAGCAATCTGTCCAAGGAGAAGAACATCCAGAATTCTCCTTAGCCACCAAGATGGCAAGATTTCATCTCATGTACTTTGGACAAGTTTCAAAGAGGGACCAGTCCCTGAGGAAAGACATCATTCTTGGTAGAGGACAGGGTCAGGGAAAAAGAGGAAGTCTCTCGATTAGATGGACTGACACAGTGGCTGCAATAATGGGCCCAAACATGTCATAATTGTGAGGGGGGTACAGGACCAAGCAGTGTTTCATTTTGTTGTGCACAGTCAGATCCTCTTCAATAGTGTCTAATAAGAAAAAACATACTATTTGCCTTGCAATTGGTATGTATGATCTTCTAATCAATAAAGGAAAGGCTGATGACACACTGTTTTATGGTCTTAACTGATGTCAGTCCCTTTGATAATAAGCATCATAACCTTTCTCTTTTTGTTTTTAAATTATATATATACTATATTATATATGTATATATATATATGCTCACATATTTTCAACATTTTAAAAATATAGGTAAATTAAATTAATCATGTTCATCATATTTAATAACTATCACCACTATTCATTTTCACATCATTCCATCACTCGGCTTTCCTGTTATTGGAAAAAGTCAGTGGAGAAGGAGAAGGATTCTCTAATACTACATAAATGGAATGGATCTTATACCTGCAGTTACTGTGACACTGGAGGGTTTGTCCAAACATAGTAACTTATTTAAATAACAATGTCTATATATTTATAAAATTTCTATAATATCAATGACACTAAAAGTTAGTTACTGTTACATTCCCATTTCGCTGTATTTCAGTGCCATGGAATTGGCTCTGGTCCATAGTAACCCTACCACCAGAAGAAGAAGCATCTTCACCATTGTGCTACTTGAGCCCCTTGTTGCAGTTGCTGGGTCGTTCTAGGAAGAAGGAAGAGGTGAACTACTGCTGAGGGTTTAGCCACAGAAAACGTTATGAATAAAAATGGAATACTGATAACAGCTGTGGAAGATCTCCATTTTACAGATTTTTGAAGTGGTATGCAGAAGTTACATTATCTAACCTGTATCTCGTAGTTAGGCCATGGTAACTCTACAATTCTAACCCAGACTGACGTGAGTTTGGAGCCATAATTCTTGATTGGTATGCATAGGGGCACCCCGCTCCTTCCTTATCATGTATCCTACTTCCTCTATCCATTCCATGAAACACCTAATCTGTGGCTTAGAAAGGAAAGATAAGGAAGAGGAAAGAAATGTTACACCAATTCTCATTATCAACTCTCTTCCTCACTCATCTGTTCCAGTGATGGCATGCAACTAACCCTATGGCATTGCCTATGATCTTCATATGCCTTTTTCTAGGATGCACAGTGGTAATATTCATTCCCTTGATGTGACCGTTGTTGATGATGAAAGGTGCCATTGAATCAGCTCCAACTCACAAGCTAGCTTATGTACAACGGAAGGGAATATTCACCACCCTTAACATTGTTATACTTGAACCCATTATTGTAGCCACCATATCATTGAGAGGCTTCCTCTTTTTTATTAACAAATCACTTTAATGAATATGATGTCTATTCTCCAAGGACTAATCTCTCCTGATAACATGTCCAAAGTCCATAAGATAAAGTCTTGCCATTCTCACTTCGAAGGTACATTCTGGTTATACTTCTTCCAAGATTGATTTGTTGATTTGTCTGGACGTCTACAGTAATTTCAAAGTTCGTCACCAACATCATAATTCAAATGCATCAATTCTTCTGTATTCATCCTATTCTTTTTCCCAAATTCACTTTTATATGGGGCAATTGAACATACCATGGCTTGGGTCAGACACATCTTAGTCCTTACTCTTCAACACATTGAAGAGGTCCTTCTCATAAGAAGGGAGTATCTCAGTTCTTAGGATTCTCGTATAGACACCTTTCCACAAACTCTCTGAATTATGCAAAACCAAATCAAAACTGTTGCCTTCAAGTTGATTCGAACTCACAGTGACACGGGACAACTTAAAATCCTTAGAGGCTTTTCAAGACAGTAAATCTTTACAGAAGCCAACTTTAGAATCATTCTCCCATAAAGCAGCTGGTGGGTTCTAACCACTGACCTTTCAACTAACCCTCAACTACTTTAACCACTGTACCACCAGGGCCCCCATGTCTCCTATTAGAAATAGTTGTGACTGATGATAGTTGTTGACACAATGATAAGAATTGGGCTGCCAACTATAAGGTTGGTGG